GAAGCTAGGCCATCTAATGGATATAGCATAGCCCCAAGTCCAGACACTGAGAAAAAAAGAGAAGAGAAAGAAAAACAAATCCTTCTCCTTCCCTGCATAGTGTTCCCCTGAAGATCTTCTACCTTTTACTGCTGCTACCAAAGATAACATAAAAGGGATTGTAGGTGTGTGAGGAAAAAGCCACTCAAGTACCAACTCCTTTAGTTCTGAAGGACTCCAGGAGACATTAAAAGAGGAATTCACACAACACCCAAGTGAAGCAGGTAACATTGTATGAGTATTATCCTCATTTTACAGAAGGGAAAGGGAGATGCAGGAAGGTTAAGATTTCCCTAAGGTTGAACAGTAAGTCATTTAATAAGACAGGAATAGAACCCACAGATCCTGGCACCCAGACTTATGTTTGAGACAGTAGACTGCTTCCGCTTGGTACTAGACTTTATTAGACCATACGTAAGTGCATAAAGAAGACACTTACAGCTTTTCCATTTTCAAGCCATGTGACAGTGGGAATTGGAATGCCTGTAGCTGTGCACCGCAGTGTCACCACAGACCCAAAGGTGACATTGTGGGATTCAGGAGCCTTCAGGATTCTGGCATAAACTGTTAAGAAGACAAAGGTACTAGTTAAGTGACTATTTAAAGTTGAGACTCAGACACCGTTCTGACATGCATGTGTTTCCTCTTCAATAAATCTTATAATAGATAATAGCTCCAGCTCTATAATAAATAAAAACATAGCACAGATGCTCCAGTGAAGGAGATGAAGATCATGGGGATAAAGTCTCTAAGAGGCCAGAAGGTACAATATATGCTGAGCATTAAAGGCCAAATTTTGCTTTCAGACTTTTGTGCACAACTCCAATTGACTTCAGTGAAGAGCACAGAGTGCAGCAAGCAGACGGCAGCATTTGATGCAGTGAGATAATGAATGCATAGAACTAAAAGTATGATAATTTTACTATTACATGGCAAGCTATGATGCCCATGCTGAATGACCTCACCTCCTGTCTATGAAGATTGAAACTTATTTTAAGCAGTCATGCAAGAGACCTGCAGAAATCATTCAAATGCCATTAACAATATAGGACTGAGGGAGGAGTCTCTGTACCTTTTCTAATTCTACTACATCCTTTTTGAGATGTAAGGATCAGGACTGCACACAGTATAGGCGCACCACGGGTTATATAATGGTATGATGATTCCCCATTTTGTTTTCAGTTCCCTTCTCAATGAACACTTTATTGTCTTTTTCGGTTGCTTCTGCACATTGTACTATTTTAAAGGACTATCTACAATGACTCAAAGGTCCCTTTTCTGAGGTGTAATAGCTAATCAGAACCCAACGTCGTGTATGTACAATTCAGATTATTTTTCCTCCAGTGCATTACCTTGCACTTGTTGACATTGAAGTTCATTTGCCACTTGTTTGCCCACTCACTTAATGTGATCAGATCTTTCTGCAGCTTGTCTCCCATCAGCTTAGCACTTGACCACCCAGAATAATATGGCACCATCTGCAAACCTGGAGATTTCACTGTGCATCCCCATTTCCAGATCCTTGATGAAAATGTTGAACAAAATAGGGCCCAGCACAGCTCCTTCTGGGACCCCACTTTTGACCTGCCTCCATCTTGAAAAATGACTATTGAGTCCTACTGTTTGCTTCCTCCTTCTTAACTATTTCTCAAGCCACAAAAGAACCTTCCCTCCAATCCTGTGGCAGTGCAGTTTTTTTAAAAGCCTTCAGTGAGGGACCTTGTTAAATGCTTTTTGAAAGTCCGTATACATTATGTCAACTGGGTCCCCCTTGTCCACATGCTTATTGACACCCTCAAAGAACTCCAGCAGCCTAGTGAATAAATACATGTCAAACCCTTACAAAAAGGGTTTGATATATGTTTATTCAGTTTACCCACTTTATTTGCCCACTTTATTTATCCAGTTTATTCTGGGTTTGATGAGTGTTTATTCAGTGTCTCACACAGCGTATCTCCGACTGGGGCCTCTGAGAACTACCCCAGCAGCTGCTTACCTATATAAATACATAAAATATATATGTATATACATGCACACAGAATTTTCAAAGGGCTTACCTTCCATTTAGGCAACCAGCCTCATTATCAACATCATAACAAATAATGTATAATGTTAGCTACCTCTCAGTACACAATGGACACACCATCACTAGAGGAAGTGCATAGTATCCAGGGAAGTCACAGACCTACTAGGTTAGGGAAACTAACTTGCATCTCCCCTGCAGTCCTGATGTAAATGGGAATGCTCCCACTTTGTCAAGTCAGGAATGTGTTTTGTCTTCTGTATTGATGCAGAAATTTGCACATCCTGTCCCCATGCTATGTCTGATCCATAGTTAAATGCAGGACTACAGTCTCCAAGGGTATGTCTACACATGCAAAGGCTGCAGGGTGGGTTTACTCTAGAGTTAATTCCTCTACAGTAAAAGCACGCTGGGCAGGCGTATACATGTGCGGCGAGGTGGAAGCAGAATGTCTGAAACAGGGCAGTCCCCAGCCATGTCCAGGCAGCACATGCAGACTTCCCCATGCAGCCTGGGCTGGCCAGGAATTGTCCTGGTCAGGGGCTGGTCCCAGCCAGCTCCAGGCTGGGTGGGGAACTCTCCCTGTGCAGAGAGCTCCCAGCCCCAGTCTGCAGTTGCAGAGCTGGGTCTGGGAGCTCCCTACTGCAGGAGCAGGGGGACATTGTCCTTGCTCGAGCTCTGGTGTCAGAGCCCATCCCAGCAGCAGGCAGCTTCTGGGGATAGGGAGCAATCTCCCACCCCAGCTGCCCAACTGACCGGGAGCAAATTTGCTCCTGGTCGGCTACCTACACATGCTGTACTGAGCAGTAATTACTCACGAGTACATTTTCTCCTTGTATTTACAGGTAGCAGATATACTCGTGATTAGAGCAAATTACTGTTCAGTAAGCATCTGTATGTGTAAGCATGATGCTTACTACACAGTAATATAATCTTCAGTAAAATGTCTCATGTAGTTGCACCCTAAAACTGTTAATTTTGTCCCTTTTCCTGCTTCTGCTAAGTTACAGAGAATGAGAGAGAGAGACAGAAAATTCCACATGCACGATCTTCACTAACAAGGGGAAAATCTACTCTTAACTCTCCTCTAACCAAAGCACTTTTCAGCCACTCCCACACTGGGAACTACCCCATCTACCTCTTTCAGATCCTTCCATCTAGCCTGAGTATAATCCCCCATTTGCATTTAGCAACAAATTGTGATCCCCAGCAGCAGTTTACAATTGCCTTAAGGATTATGACATCCAAGTGGAGACCCTGCGCTGTAAGTAATAGGATCTGCATTAAAATTTGCCAAACTGGAGGTGCTAAAGAAGCTGTCTCCTAATTCATCGATTTCATAGACATTAGGGCTGGGAGGGACATCGCGAGATCATCGGGTCCAGCCCCCTGCCCGAGGGGCAGAAAGTCAGCTGGGGTCAAATGACGTCAGCAAGATAATCATCCAAATGCTTCTTGAATGTGTCCAGAGTAGGTGCTTGCACCACTTCTGGGGAGAGTCTGTTCCAGACTCTGGAGACTCAGACAGTAAAGAAGTTTTTCCTTATGTCCAGTCTAAAACGGTCTTCCAGCAGTTTGTGACTGTTAGACCTTGTCTTCCCTTGTTATTTAATAAAATGGAAAAAACTGAATTTCTTACTCATATTAATGAGAAATTAAATCTGTCCAGCCACAGATCAGGCCAGCACACCAAGCTTTGTTCCCAAACTCCCTAATAAATGTGCTTTTATTTTATATGTTTCAGGCATGTTGGTTATAGCCAAGTTGGTCTGAGGACATAGGCAGACAAGGTTCTTTGGGTAAATGTGATATCTTTTATTAGACTAGCTAAATAGTTGGAAAAATTGTTCTTTACAAGCTTTCAGGCACAAATACCCTTTAGGCATAGAAAGTCTGCTATTGTTTGTGTACTCTTTTAGGTGAAATAGAAGCTTAAGCCAATATGCAAAATGCAGGTCAATGAAACTTTTGACCAGTGGTAAAATGTAGCTGGTAAAATGTAGAGAGTTTACCTCACATTACCGAATGGCAGGTCGGTTGTAATATGCCATAAATCCAATGTCAATATTTAGTCTATGATTATTTTGTATCTATTACATTTATGAAGTGAAGTTTATAGGCTCGTCTACTAAAGATGTTTTGTAAATTCCCTTTGAGGATTAGACTTGAGAGATTGGAGAGAGAGTGATTGCCTTGTGAGAAGTGCCTCCCCGCCCCCGGTAATTGGGTATTTTTGTCTTTAATAGATTTTTGGCATGTATTGTTTCTGGTATGCAGTTGTTTGTTTTTTGCTATGTAGTTTCCATCAGGTCATTCTGTGCACTGGATGAGATATATTACATTTCTGGAGGTGCAGGTATAAGATCCAGGAATAAGAGTGGTAGAGATGTGTTAGCAGGTTTTACATTTCTTCCCTGGAACTTACATGGAAAACCCTCGAACCGTTGCAACACATACTAGAAAAAGACCCAGTTCTTAAAGAGATCTTTCCAGAACCATCCATCCTAGCCTTTAAACAGGCACTCAACCTCACCAACCTCATCAGTAGAAGCAAACTTCCTATGGCCTCAAGCACACCAAATAGATCCAAACCATGCTGGAACAGAAATATAAAACCTGCCAACACATCTCCACCACTGCCACAATAACTACACCCCACAACAGAACCATCACCATGGTTAATCTAGTAAAACCATGGGTTTGGGGTTATTTTTCATTTTCCCCTGCAGTTGTATACTCATTTACATATTTCTCTAATGGTGTGAGGACTCCTTACCAGTTTCCCTAGTATGGCCCAATTTTAATCTCTAACACCTTTTATTATTCTGTCCTGGACTTCCCCATGGAAGACAGCTTGCCAACTATGCTGAATTGTGTCAAACAGCATAAAAGTTATTTGAGGTGTATGTTGAAGGAAAAGGATGGAACCTCCAAATGTCTTTTCACATATGACCTTAAGTTAAGGCCAGTACTTCAAATATAAACAGCTACTGGCACATTTCATTAGCCAGACCCCTGTCCAGAGAATTTCTCATTTTTCCCTTTACTTTGAGATGCCATTTTCACTACTGCCAATTTGGAAATAACCTGTTTAGGTATTCTCTATATCAGTAATTCTACAGGATGGGAGGGAACTATAAAACAATAATATTAGAGTGCCATTTATTTTCAGGAGTATTCTACATCTTCTGCAACATGCAGAATGGCCAAGATTTTAAAGACTCGCTGCCTAAAGTGAGCTCCTAAGGCCATATACAGAATCTGGAAGAAATGGCCTGGCTTTTCAAAACTGCCAAGTACTCTGGCACTCTCCCATTAACTTGGTGGGTGGTCAGCACTTCTGGAAATCAGGCCCACAACTTCACCAACCCAGAAGATTCAAAATAATGGAGTCAAACCCCGCAAAATACTGATAGATTTCTTTAAAGTCATGAGTTTTAAAGAAAAATAATGTGGGTACTCTTTTTATTTGTCTTCTGGTTCTCAAGATTGCATGGGCTCATGGATTCTTGTTTCAATCCTAGAAAATCAATTTTAAAAA